TTTATAGATCTATTCTCATCCACCATCTTTGTTTGTGACGTAAAGAGTGTAAGAGTCACGTTTCTGAATCGGACACTCTGAGTGGATGCAGTCACAGCCAATCGGAGTCTGATTCAGAGGGTTGCCTGTTAGTGATGGGAATTCCGGCTCTTCTTGGTGAGCCGGATCATTTGGCTCAGCTCACCAAGAAGAGCCGGCTCTTTCGGCTCCCAAACGGCTCTTCGGTTTACCACATATTATACCTTTTAATTAAATCAAATGTAGCCCTGTTTTGACTAATGATTTATATGTGTACACCAGTGGCGAACCGTCAGGGCCTTCAAGGTATTCAGAGAATACCCTGGAACAAAAATTCGATTTAATTATATAAATAAAATGTATATAAAATGAATAAATGAGAATCGTATCTGTGTTGTTGATCTGTAATATGACAGGGTTACGGCCCGTCTACACTACAGGCGTCAAAAAATGCTTTCAACGCTTCGCCCATTCATTTAAATGGGGTGACGTAGGATATTTTCAAACTTCGCCGAACTGCATTGTGGGTAGCATGGCAAGGCGTTGCAAGCATCGCGAGCGTCTATCGGCGTCAAAAGTTGAACAATGTTCAACTTTTGAGGCTCGATGCTTGCTCGAAGCTGGCGTCAGCCAATCAAATCCCGTTTTTGCAATTCCTGCCAGTACAAGCGCTAGCCAATCAAACCGCGTGCAAGCTGGGAGAGCCAGACCGCAGTTCATTTCCTCATATTCCAAACGAGAAATTACGGTAGCAAATCACCCGGTTCTTTCCGACCAGAACTATTTACCGGGATACAAACCGGAGGAACCAGGCATGGAGGGAGGTGGCAGAGACAGTGGGTGAAACTGGTAGGTTTTCGCCTGTTTGGGGATTTTATATCCAGTTTACTTCGTTTTAACATTGCTATTGCTTTGTATGTCGGGGGCGGGAGATTCATGTGATTGGTTGTTGGTCGCGTTGCTCGCAAAAAAATCGCCAAGCTTCAGACACGCCCAGTTTCAAGATTTTTTGATGCCTGTAGTGTAGACGGGCCGTTACGTTGATTTGTTTATCCTTCTCGGACCATGCACTGCGCATTTGAGTGGTTTTGTGTTAGAAAAGAAAACAACCAATCAGATCTTGTTCTGGGTCTCTGGGTAGAATATCCTTCAACCAAGGTATTCTACATCCTTGATCGAATGCCCTGGCCGTTGCACTGAATGAGAGCGTACGTTTGGACTGACAGTTTGATCAACCAATCATATATTGATTTGTAGCCAATGGGCGTATTCTTTCAGAGTTTCCCTCGGTTCCAGGGTATTCTAGAAGGCCTGCTAGTTAACTGGCTCGAGACAGAGGATCTAGTTGAATGCGACGAAGCAATTCATGCTGTTTTATTGTTTTTAATGTTGAAATGACAAGTGCGACAGGTGAAGATGAAGTTGTTGCGGAATTGTTGTGAGTACCCTTTTCAAGACGACAATTCAGTGAAAAGACGGACATTATAATGCTGCGGAGAAGGGGGGGGGGTGGCGGTGGCGGGGGTGTGAGTGTTTACAGAAGGTCCAGTTGTGATAGACACGGTTCGCCACTGGTGTACACATATATCACTTAAATTATTCAATACATCCTTTGTACTGAAGTATTCAAAAGTAAAAATTACATGTTTAATATAAATGATTTGCTGTGGCCAATTGTTTTCATTGCATTTACAGACCCTTGTAACTCTGATGCCACCCAATGAATGCACTGACTTGCTTGTAGAACCACGCTACACAAAGCAGATAGCAACACCTATAAAAACGTAAGCATAGACATTTAAAAAAATGGGGCTACTGTATCGACATTTTAAAATTATATTTAAAGAAAAGGCCCCGACAAAAGTGTTGAATGTTTCTTTCAATGTTATGGTTAGCAGTTATTTTTAATGAAATAAGTAAAAAATTCAAGCTCCGTTTTTTATTTATGTGCAAATATCCCCTATTATAGTGTATATAAGTCTCTAATGAGTGACATATCATTAGCTGAGGTTGTGCTGATTTCTAGGATGTGTAAAACTTGATTATACTGCAAAAAAAAGACAATTTATAAGTCAAAACACAAAAATATACAAAAACGGAAATGTCCTATGTGGTTCTCAGAGGGTTAATGGATGTATTGGAAGTTTGTTAGTTAACTACTGATAGGTTCTCCTCAACAAAGCTTTAGTTATTGCAGCTAAAAGGGCAATAGGTCACTCCAGTTTAGGCGAACTGATTGATGCAATCAGTGTCTTCATCGCTACAATTCTAACTTATCACGGTAATAAATACACTACAACTACCAAGGTTTAATGGTTTGTGCAATGCCAGTGATTATGAGAATGAGCCAAGACAGCACATTTAGGATCAAATCAGGTCAATTTGCTGGAAAATGGGAAAAGGATGCCTGTTGGGAAAACATCTGCCTTAATGATAGTGAATACTTTCTCTTTTGGAACCATCTCAAATGGAATTTCACTTAATCTCCTGAATTGATTCTGACAGTTGGAGGAGTGATATATCTTGCAGCCGGTGAAGTTTAGCACTCCCCAAGACTAAGACTTGACAGAGTCAGAAGCAGACCTTTAAGCCCCTGTCACACTGTCCCGAAATTGACACCCGATGGACACACGATAAAGGCAATGTTCAAATTCGGCTCTGATCGTAGCAACATCGGGCCATTCGTGAGGGCATCTTAAGCCATCGTATGACCGCCGGTGGAGTTTCTCAGGCTTCGGCAGCAACTTCGTGAGCGGCAACTTCGTAAGGCACTCGTGAGGGCATCTTGTCAAGTCGTGTCATCTTCGTGTTATCATCGGTGCATTCACCCTCACTCTGATCGGGGCGAATGCCCGATGGCACCGATGATAACAAGATGCCCTCACGATGGCCTTACGAAGGGAAAAATTGACACACGAATTCAACACGAAAATGAACCTTCGCAAGGTCCTTCGGCAATTTTTTGGCATGCCAAAGATTTTCCCACCGCTCACGAAGTTGCTGCCGGAGCCTGAGAAACTCCACCGGGGGTCATACGAAGGCTTAAGATGCCCTCACGAATGGCCCGATGTTGCTACGATCAGAGCCAAATTTGAACATTTCCTTTATCGTGTGTCCATCGGGTTGTTTTATTGCACAACAAAATCATGTAAACATATTATGTAAATAACCCAATTTGTGTTCTGTGAAACTGAAAAGGATATATATTATTTTGAAGGCGAGTTGACAGGAAGTTGTTGTTGCTATGGAAACAACAACATGACTGAGAAAACGTAATATCTTCTACATATAAAGACGGAGAAAGTAAAGAACAAAGTCTGTAAATATCAGTACAGTATCATAGTACTGTAACATAATTGTTTGTGTTACTTTCGTTGCAGTTGTATGTCTTAAATGTATGTAAATGTTGCCTTCGTGTGTGGTTCGGGGCCATCTTCGTGCGAAATTCACAATTCCATATTCGTGTGTCCATCGGGTGTCAACTTCGGGACAGTGTGACAGGGGCTTTAGCCAGGTAGGGAGTAGTTGACACAGGCAGAATGGAAACCTGAGGTTACAGGAGCATGGCAGAAACTTTAAGATGGATAAAGACAGGAGATAGGAACTGAGTAAACATCGAGACCGAAAAAGGAAAGCCTTGTCTTCCAAAAAAGCCGGAACTTGCATGCATGGCAGCTGAAAACCCCCGGGAAACTTCTCCGTTCTGACAGCTGTGCCCTGATCCCTCTCAAGACCATGGGCGCATGTTTGGCACTGGTTGTAGACCAAACACTTCTGCCAACAAGTGTAATCCATGCACAAAATCAGGAAATGTCACACAAGGGTGGGCTGTGTGTAGTGGAAAGGATGAGCTGCTAAATTTCGTGTTTGGCGTGGCCTAATCAAACCATCAAGATGCCTTTCACAAGACCCAATCCCTTCCGATTCCTGTCCCTACTCCTGGTGGGGATAATGAACAACACGCATGGAAGGAAAAGGGAAAGAAATGGACCACTTACAATTAGGAAAAAAGGAAATTCCAGGGATTACATTGTACCAAAGTATTGCTTAATACCAACTTTATATATTTAACTTTAATGGGCAACATTTCTGCATGGTGACTCATTTTGGAAATTGGTCAAATTAAAGCATCCATAACAACATTGGACTGTGTTACAATTAAGTTAAATAGGCTCATTAAACAGAATCTGTGGATGGCTATTTTTTATATTCCTAAAGTGTGGTGATTTAAATTCCAGCTCTTGCATTGAAGAAACAATCTATACTTCTAAAAGTAAGTTTTCACGGCAACTGCCAACAGGCAGGAAGTTAGTTCACATGTAAAACATACTGTATGACTAAGTCATGCATTATGTAGCCTGTGAAACCACTTGGGTCGTGTTGCAGTAGTATTCAATGAACAAAGAGCCAATGTGATCACTTAGTGGGAGAACTTTTCAACTGAAAAGGTAATGAATCTTAACGTTAAATGTATAACACTTCCCTTACCAACGGCCCAAAGTTGTCTTTTAGAGGTGACTTTTTATTTTTCAACCTGAACCCTATTTTTCCATGTTTTTTGGCTGCTACGTGATCACTCCAAGCCATTCCGCAATGCCATTGTACGTCGCTTTAACGGTAATTTTATGTAAGGTCCTTCTCTTTTTCATTTGATCAAATACTTATAATAACAATCTGAACATTTTTTGTGGACACACATTGGCGGTGTGGAATTGCAGGACTGCTATGTGTCTGTTTCGTGGCTTCTAGCTGGAGCGCTGTGAGGAAAATACTGACATAATTTCAACAAATGGTTGTCCTAATTAGTCAAAAAAATTAAAGGGAAAATAGGATCCAAGTTAAAGAAAGCTTAAATTGCCCTTTAGGATTTAGGCCAATATAGTCCAAACTTAATACGGGACATGCATTTGCTTTGGATGACAATCTTAGAAGTCATTCCAACAAGCTTCCTCAATTATTAACATCACTCCATCTTTACTCACCACCAGTTCGGAGAAACGTGCAAGCAGCTCCTCTGCGGGCGGCATGGGGGCGCTGAACTCCAGCAGCTGCAGAGGCACGCTGTCCTTGAGGTTGATCTCCGGAGGCTCGCTGCTGCCGAAGCAGCACAGGAAGCCCAGGCCTGGCCGCGTCCTCTTCCTGGGCGGCATGGCGGCTGTGGCGACACGGTTGGCAGTGATGGTGCTGGATGGTAGAGGAAGGGGCAGGGAGGGGGAGTGGAGAGGAGGACGAGGCTGCTATCTAGGGGGCATGATCTGGAAGAGAGAAAAGATCAAAGGAAAAGGTTACAGAGACATCCAAAATGCAAGGCGGCCTACGTTTGGTTTTCCCAGTGTCCTTTTAATGCCATTCCATCCATTAGGACAAGCATGTTGAATGGCATAATACATGACGTTTCCATGTACAGTAAATAATTTAAATAATTTCCAATCAAAATGTTGCATAACAGTGATTCAGCCTATGCTATTCAGCCTCGTGCTGGTTGACAAACCCAGTGTTTGGTCAATGTTTCCTTGGAAATGTTTTTTTTTTGTAGTGCACAGGAAGTGAAGCAATTCATGTTTCCAGCTGCCTCGATTTGTTTAGATTAAATACAGGAAGATACATAAGCAACAACAGCCACCATGGCCAAACAGAGGGGGAAATGCCACCTAACACATTTCTTGCATGTATTTTATCTCATGCTGAAAACTTACTTGGAAAAATAGAAAATACAGACTCATTGAGAAGCTATCTTTGAAAAGTACCTCTACCACCGCAGATGACACCAACAACAAAGGAAAAAATCCAAGACCAACAACCATTGATTTAATCTATTTTCTTAAGAAATCTTCCTTAAATGTACAGGTGGTGAGAGGACAGAGGAGGCAGCAGGGTCCGCCATCATATCCTCATCCTGACATCGGTTGCTCTTACGCCTCGACAAAGAAACCTCTTGTCCGTGAAGAACAATGGCGCCTGTGCAATGTGTGTGTTTTGTTTGTGCACCAAGAGCTGCCCCAGCAGTGCCCTCACTCCTTCAATGGAGCAGACACTGTGTGTATGGACAGTGGTGAATGACACCCACTACAACAGGAGCAAAGCAATGAATAGGCCGAGACACCCTGGAGGATTTCCTCAATGCCACTAAAAGGATATGGGTGGTCTTCACTGTATGAATAATATACTCTTCACACCATATTATGTCCTATCAACCACATACTTACACAATGTGAGTGTACACCAACAGAGGCTCAAATTGTTTCTAAAGCTGTTATTTATGCGACAGTTTACAGCATTTGTGAATGAATGGACCTCATGCAAATACCATGGACATGCAAATACAGCAGAAATAGTGGACCAATAAATCCATTTTGGAGCCATCAAGGTTGCCATCAAGAGCACAGAAGGCTATCACAAGCAGATTTCAATAAGCAGACTTGTCTTCCTGGTATGCTTTTATTGATACGTGTATAAACTAGCATTACGGTATGGCAAGAGCTTTGCACCCGTCTGTTTAATATGGCAATGAAAGTTTATGACTTCAGTTTCCACAAAAATCTACTTCATCTTCACTGAGCCTGACTCTCCGCCATTGCTCTCTCACACATTCGTTCAGTGTAGGAGTTCTCACTGCATGGTTTAAAAATAGCCCGGATGGTAAATTCTTTATGAAAGCGCTCAGCCCTCGACAGAAGCTTAAAGGGGAAAAACAGAAAAGAGAAAACACCACATTTCCATTTTGCCCTGTTCGTCTTTTGCTCATTCGCGTTTTCCGCCTCCTTGAATCTGCAGCCTTCTCAACGCAGAGGCAGCTGAGCTACACGTGAACTGGAGGCTATTTTAAATTATATGCAACCAAGTTTTTCTTTGGCTTGTTGAACATGGAAATACCCGTGCAGCTAACACTTGGCTTATTTTCTGACAAGTATTATCTAAAAGTATTCTGTAGAATGGCTTTCTAATATAGAGACTGTTTCATAGCCATTGCATCAGAGTGCTGAATGTCAATAATAGCATGTTTGTCATCGTGTATCAGTGGGCCAGGCACATCTGATACTGCAGCAACGCGTGTTAGCCGAGGTGACAATCCCTGAACTCCCCCCCCAATCAGGGAGGGATTAACCTGCTGGGGCGCTCCAGGGCAAAAATGACCCGGAGGCCCCCATTGATCCCCCTCTCCTCCCATTGCCTGTGCATAGTGTTTGTATCATGTAACCCATGCAGAGCCCAGTAAACTGTCTCAGTTAGTATGTGTTCATTTGATGAAATATATGAATTTCTGCAAGAACGTCATCAACTGCCATATAAATAGGCATTAGATCTACATTTATACACAGGACTATTTACAAGGCAGGGCTTCAACATTTAAAGAATTAAAAAATCCCCATGTAGGTCCCAATGATGCAGGATGACAATTGCCAAACTGTCCTTTCAATATTTCCAGACCAGAACTAAAATGCAACAATAAAGCTGTGAAAACATTATTGGTGCCTAGTCAACACATAAAGGTATGTTTTGAATCAGGGTTTTTACTTCATATCTTGTAGTTGTGTTTGATTATGTAGCAGTGACCTCTTTAGTACTTTATGAGGCCTACATTTATGTGCAATAAGTTAACGCTAGTGCATGAAATGTTGCCTCATAGGCGATGCCTTACAAGAAGAGATATTGGTGCACACTATAAAATTACAAGCCTACACACAAGTAAGTGTCTGCCAGCAATCCTGAAATTGCAGTTGAAAATGATGTCCAAGATCCAGTTTGACACCAACAGAGGCACAGTGATAATGATTAAAGACAACTGTCGCATGTGCATCGAGTATTCTGCACAACAAGATGCAGAGTTTATTATCAAACCAGATGTGGCTAAGCATGGCATGCTGATCAGACTTAAATGTACTGTATAGGCAAGGGGGAAAGGAAACAATGAGAAAGGCCCACTCCAGCATGGTAAATTATGGAGATTCTTTCCATAGAGTTACACTTGAAAAGGCTCTGCATCGTAAAAAAAGCAACTGCTCTTCATCATTTGTATTACTACAAGAGAGAGTAAGCACTGATGCCAATCTTTACGGTGGTGAGTTAGAGATTGACACAGTGGACAGCTGGCTGAGCTTAATAGAAAAGGAGACGCTCTACAGGGGTTTTAAAGCCATTCAGTGAAAAAAGAAAAACACAACCTGAACCTCCTGTCAGTGTGTGTGCTTCTATCTTCACTCTCCCACAGAGCCCCACGTGTGGCCAGTGATCACTCAACACCAGTTCTGCTGGCTGTCTTCCAAAGCATGCCCAGAGAAAGTAGCTCAAGGAATACAAACACAGAAGTATACTGTACATACAGTGTACACAGGGGGATGTAAGGCGCTGTGCCATTATCATTGTCTGTATGGTGGAGTCACCACACAATCACAATTCAAATTGACCATGTCCACTGCCATGTGTGCCCTGAGAGCCCCTCTTATCTCCCAGCTTTTCACTCCACCCCGCTCTCCCTCCCCCTCTGATTTGCTGTCATCTCCCATTATTCCCCTCTTTTCAGGGTGAATAGTGTGACATTTCACTCTGTCAACCCCCCTCGGACAGTAACATCTGTCATTTTTCCTAGGGACTTCTCCACTATCCTCCTGCCAGCTTTATTCTCCATTTGATTTCCTTCCCCTGCTTATCTGTGCTCAGGTTTGCATGTAGCTGATAGCTAGGCACAGTGACTGTATGCGAGGGCTGCCAGCTTACTCTTCGGTTTTGAAGTCAATATTTCAAAAGGAGCCCTATTATGCTTTTTAGGTTTTCCCCTTCCTGTAGTGTGTTGTAAAGGTTTTGCTGCATGTAAATGGTCTGCTAAAGCTAAAATCCCAAAGTTTCTCTCAGATGTACAGATCTGTGGATTATACCAATTAATTGGCAACATGATCTTATGAATGTTTGGCTGTGTTCACACCACGAGCAACAATGTGACAACAGTGATGCTAGTTGACGACGTGTTGGCGTTGTAGTTGGTGTGCAGTCCAAAAGCAATACGCTTTCTTCCTTTTTTTGATAATGAAAAGATAATTAAATAAAAATGTATGATTATTTAAAGCTTGGTCACGTTATTAAAAATAACTTACATTTTTTTTATGCCATCTAAAGTTTTGTAGCGTGTTTGGCGTTGTAGCTTCCTGTATAGGCTTCCGTTGAAAATTAAGCAGAGTGAATGTAGCATGAGTCAAAGTAAGAATATCTTTAGTGATTAGTTAAGGACAGCCTTACTGTGTGCAATTATACACACAAAACAACACATAACCTGTGGTCAACATTCCCTAGCAACTAGCACGATAGCTAGAAATGCTACAGAAGTGCTAAGCGCCGAAGATTCGGATGTAAGCTCATACACACATGCAGTATTTGCATACTCCCTGAAGCAAAGAGAGGAGCCTGCTGGCTGCTCTGTGTTTAAAGAGTCTGGAGAGCAGCGGAGCAGAGAGGGGAGAGACAGGGAGATGAAGGAGGTGAGGGAGTGAGGCAGGGATAAAGGGAGATACTGCTGCCACTTCTCATTCAGCCCACTACCTCATCGCCTCTCATCCCCAGCGCCGGGAAGTAGGTCAGTGGAGGAGGAAGAGGAAAGGGGGGGGGGCGGGGTGCAGTGAGGAGAGACTGGTTACTGGTTGCTGCTGCTGCTGGTGTGTGATTATGTGCAGGCCAGAGGTGTCTATGTAGAGATCAAACATCTGTGCCTGCATCATTGTTATTCTCTACCCAACATCTGTCCCACAACACAGTGCTTTTAGGAGAAAGAAAGAAATCAGATGCAACATAAAGCTTCTGTTTTTGCCATCCCTCCACAATAGAACAACTTCAGCTTCAGGATTTATCAACTGGTTCTTCCTTTTTTTACTTTGCACACTTACAACCCTTATTCCTCCCCGTCCTTCAACTTCATTCTCCAACAATGTCTTCTCCACAATCAAGTACATCCACCTGCCCCTCACTTTTACATTAATGGTGTGTTCAAACAAAGCGCTGAAAACTTTCTTTGTGCGGCTTGATCAGGCACAAAGTCAATGCAAACACCCACAATATGAACGTGGTTGAGTTTATATCATCCTAAACTAACAAAGTATGTTGATTTATGTGTATAACAACCATGTTGCACCCTTTGTATACAAGTGTTGATGGAGCAGCTTGAGTGTTAGCAAAGCCCTGGTGGATCAGAACTTCATTGCGTTTGCTTTTCGACTTGCAGACAGACCCAGGCAAAGTACAACAAATATAATTCAGACAAAGCTGCATA